CTAGACCAAAAATAAGAAGTGAACTGACTGCTGCGGATAGAGCTCATTTCACATTAAATGCAAAATCCATGAATGTATTATATTGTGCTTTAGACTCAAATCAATCTATTAGAGTCAAAGGCTGCAAGTCAGCCAAGGAAATTTAGGATAAATTGAGAGAAATTCATGAATGTAGTAAGAATGTTAGAGAACAAAAGAAGTTCATTCTAGTTACAAAGTATGAATCCTTCAAGATGCAACCTCATGAAAATATTGATGAGATGTATTGTAGATTTAATGACTTTATTAAGGATTTGGAGGTGTTGGAAAATGAATACTCTCTAGGTGAGAAAAACAGAAAAATTCTGAATGCCTTATCCAAGGATTGGGAGAGTAAAGTGACTGCTATTGAGGAAGCTAAAGATCTAAATACCTTACCCATTGAATCTCTTATTAACTCTCTAATTTCTTATGAGCTGAAACTCAAGTTCAAGGTGCAGGAGGAAGAAAATACAAAGGTGAGAAAGAGTATTGCTCAAAAAACCTCACAAGATGAAGATGATACAGCCTTCTTAGATGGAGATGACATAGAAGGTGATGACAGTGATATTGCACTCATCACAAGAAACTTCAAACGAATACTCAACAAGAGGAGATTCAGAAAAAGTGGACCTAGTAATTCATTCCCAAATCAGTTCAACAACTCGAGAAACAAAGGGAAGCTAGAGTTCAACAAAAGCAAACTGTTCAGTGCTTTGAATGCGACCAACCTGGACATTACGCAAGTGAGTGTCCAATGATGAAGAAGAATGAAGGAAGAAAACCAAGATTCAACAAATTTCAATTCACATGGAATGAGTGCAACTCCGATGATGAAATTGAAGAGGATGAAGAATCTGCTCAATTGGCTTTTATGGCCATTGGAGATGATGAGATAACATCTTGTAACTCTCAATTTGAAAGTAATGATGAAACTGATGATGATCTTGAATCTTTCATTATAAAATTGCATGATAGTTTGAAAGAATCCTATACTTGAAACAAGGGGTTAAAACAAAAAATTAGTTTTTTGCTTCGAGATAATACAAATCTTTTTCAACAAAATAAAAAGTTGAAAACTGAAAATGATTATTTTAAAAAGAATGAGACTGCTTTACACTTTGAGCTTGACAGAAAAACAAATCTTTGTGAATTGTTCAAAAAGGAACAAGGTGATTTGAAAAGAAAAATGGATGGTCTAAATGAATTGTTTAAATACAAGAAACAAGTCTGTTTTCAAAAGAATAGGTTGAATTGTAATTCCAACGAATTTGCTATTTATAAGAAAAGACAAGTAAGATTTATTAAACCTGTTCATATAAATAACTCTTTGATTATGTGTAATTTCTATTGTCAAAAAGGTCACATGAAAAGTGATTGATATGTGAGAAAGAATATGAAAAATGGCATGAAATGCATGTGGATAGTTAGACATGATACTAACTCTAACAAGTAGGCGATTTTGGTAAGATTGATGAGATTCTTGTTCATAATGCTTTTTTATAATTCTCTTTTGATGTTTTTGATGTTTTGAACTGAGTTTTTATTGATTTTTTTACTGAATTTATATGATGTTAAAAAGAGTGAAAAAAGAATAATGCTGATCTCATGATGATTTGCTGTGATTGCTGTCATTTCTCTGTTTTTATTTGGATTATTGAATTCTCTGTTATTGTTGCTGGTTTTTGGTAGTTGGTTTTTACTCTCATCTTATGATGACAAAAAGGGGAAGAAATGGATGTTATGTGTAAGGGGGAGTTATTCTGAAATTATAAGTTTAGATGCATTGTGTGAGGGGGAGTTTATGCTTATATGCTCAATATTTTTTCTTTCTTTCATCCATTGTTTGTCATCATCAAAAAGGGGGAGAATGTTGACCTTGGTCCCTAGCTTTTGATGGTTACAAAACAAATGGATGTTGCTAACATCTCCTCAAAGGCTTTTTCAGAAATGAAACAAATCAGCTTCAAAGATTAAGCACATTTGAAAAAGACAGAGTATGCTGAACCTGTCGGACGCTCAAGAAGACAGTACCGGACGTCCGATAATCATTTCACAATTTCGGACGCATGCTTCGGGCGTCCGATAGGATCTTTCGAAGTCAACAAAACTATCGGATGCTGAATATGTCTCTACCGGACATCCGATAGAAACAAGATAATTTCTCAAATCTCTTTGTTTGGTGTCGGACGCACAAAAAGCTTGCACCGGACGTCCGAAAGAATTGAAGAAGAATTTTCAGTTTTACATCATACCTTCGGACGCAGAAAACCAACCAACCGACGTCCGAAAGAATTGAAGAAAATCCCTTAAACTCTCTGCCTGCTGTCGGACGCATAAAACAGGGCTACCGGACGTCTGACACTGCCAACGGATAGTTGACTGTTCAGCTACTTTCTATCCGTTGGAAGCATTAATGAGGCACTTTCTTGGTCCTATATATATAGTGGTTGGTCAGATATTTCAAACAACTTTTGCACACTCAAGATACAAAAGATCTAGAGAGATTTTAGTGAGAAAATACTCTTCAAGGAAGATTTGTAGTTTTAGTCGTGTGAGGTTCATAGTAAACTTTTCATTTGTGAGTGAATATTTCATGAGTGTAGTTCTATGAGGGTTGTCCTGAGAGATAGTAAAACGTCCTGGCTTGACCGAGTGGAGTTCGCGGTAAGGAGGAGGTGAACCTTCCTTTGTACACAAGAGTGATTGTAATTCATCAACTTGAAGTAGCTTGTTTGAATTAACCTACAAGATCAAGAGGAGTTGGGTAGTTAATTGGTTTGCTATTCTTTCCTTTTTATTTACTTATTGTTACATTTATGATCTTTAAATTGTTTATCTCTTCTACTCACAAGTACTTGTGCTTTCTTATCAATTGCTCCATTGTGTGGTCGCCTAGAAAAGAGATTGTCTTCGGGTCTTGCATCATTAATTTTAATGAAAAAATTGTAGTGATATATTAATTCAAACCATAAAAGAATTATATTTAACTTTTTAAACTATAGGGGGTTCTATGATAAATCACCAAACCACAGGGGGTAAAAAATAATTTTATCTTTTTTTTTTTTTTAATTTTGAGACGGACACATTGTCAAATTTAATCCAATAGCTATGAGTATGTATGTCCACGCAAGGCTGGTTCTAATGGGGTTGGGTAGGGGCCACCGCTCCACCCAGGTCCTCCCAATCTTTAAAATTTATGTTTTTGCCCCTTAAAACTTAAAAGATTTAAAATATACATTTGTAAATTTAACTTCTTGCCGTTGAAAAAAATTTACAAATTTATCATATTGACTTCAAAGGCTATAAATATATGAAGTTTGCACTATCAAAATACATTATTGCTACAAGTATGTATGTCTGTTTATATTTGGGCAAAAGTACACAAATACATAGGAGTAACTTATATAACTCTTTTTTTTTCCATTTATATGTGAACTTAAATTAAAGTAGCTGATTGCTACAAGTCCAATATAAAATCTGTATCTACCTTGAAACGTAAGAACTCTTGTTGAAGTTTCTGGACATGTCGATCATCCCATCTCTCAAATTGTCGTTCATCCTCTATGAAGATGTCACAGGTTGTTTTCCTAAAAGATTGTTTGTGCTCTGGATGCCATTTGCCCAGTATTGAGATCAATGACTTTTCGTCAACACCAAGTCCTGAAAACATCCGTAGTATAATATTCAGGAAAAATATAATAATCATGTGATTACATCAAACTGCATCTTCTTACTCCATCTAATTAAAAACAACAAACAATTATTTTGATCTCTGACCCGCAAAAATGATAATTGAAACTTTAGGCCAAACAACAGTCATTTTTTATTAAAAAATTGTGTCATTTTTTGTGATCACATTTTTCTATTATCTTTTTTCTTCAGGTAGATCAAATCTTTACAGTAATTTTTTTATTAAAAAATCCAAAAAAAAATGCAATCCGTACGAAATAATTAACTTCTACGTACAAAATACAATATAACCTTTAATTGACACTAGAAAGAGAAGAAAGATGACAGATCACTTAGATCAAATACAAGATTCAACATTGAGTGCTTTACAAAATTTGAAAAAAAAAATTTGTTTCAATCAGATGGCAGTTGTCAATCAAAATCATACATTTGAGTGTATAATTGATAAAAAGAGAAAGTGACGTGAAAATGGATTTTCAATAGCCATGGTTGATTTGCCTGACAACAACGAGAGAGGTGCATTAATCAAGTAAAACTACTCAGACAAGCTACAAGCTTTTATAATGGAAAAATGAAATTAAAGAAATTAAACCCAAAATTACAACTGCTGCAAGAGCTTCATTGAGTAGCATCTTAAACTGTTTCCTTGTGAGGACTCGCAAAATTTACTTACTTAATCTCCTATTTCTAGTTTATTTAATTATTTATTTGGCCTTTTGTTCCGAATATTATTTTCTAAGCTCTTGAGACCTAATTACATGAAAATATAGTTTCATTATATTTTTAAAATGACTTGTTTCAAAAATTAATTTCCGGAAGCTCGTTTAGTGAAAATAGTGAACACGTCTTTAGAAATCTTGATCGATTGAGAGTACAATAGGTTTGAAATATTGGAGACATGTACAATGGACCTAAATTAGGCATTTTAATGTTTAAATACTCAAGTGATAGTTATTAGTACTATCGTTATAAGAATTTCTCGGAAGTTTCGCGTTATCGCGCTTAAATTGGAGAAACGCGTTTTTATACGCGCGATTTAAATTTAGGAACTTTAGACCCTTATTTTGGGACGATTGAGAGTGAATAATATTTATATGAATATAAGTGCATTAGAGGTTTAGTGCACTAGTGAAACAAATTCGAGAGGAATCGAACACGAAACGCGCTGGAAAAAGAGTTGACCTTTGAATCAATGAGAGCCACACATTTTAGTTTCACATGGGTGCATCACACCAGATCAAAACCCTCCACTTTATCACCTCAAACAGCCGTGCAACTCTTCTTTTCCTTCTTCATTCCAGCCGTGCAACTCCAAGGAAAAACAAGACCAAGTTCTTCATTTTTCCTTCATCAAATCTTCATCAAACCTCTTCCAATTCACTCCAAATTCGAACTACACTTAACTAAACATTTAGAGATCCCATTGAGCTAAGAAAAGGAGCTGCTATTCACGGTTTTTCTTGTGCTAAGGAAGGCAAAAAATTCTGACTTTGTTCACCACACAAGTAGGTAACGATCAACTACCGAAATCTTGTTTTATGGAGGTTAAATTGCGCGTATAAACTCTTGCATGCTTGTGGGTGGTCTTGTTTATGGTGGATTTGTGTTGTGTGGGCTCTATGAACTCCCACTTTTGACGAAAGGACTGATTTGATGTTGGATGATGAAATTAATGGTGGTTTAGTGCTTATATTAGTGGATTAATGTTGTATTGTTGGTAGAAAATCAAAGGAGGTGCTTGGAGCAAAAGTGACCGTTTTACCCCTGCCTTGTCCGACCATTTTGTGCACAATTTTGCAGTTATAATGACTTGATTATGTTGTTTACATGTTATTGTGAGTGTGTACAAAATTTCATTGAAAAATAACATGATTTGGTTGGTCAAATGAGTTGATTTCCAAAGTTAGCAAAACTGGAAAATGAATCCCGTATTGCCCAGGCAGTCATTTTGTATCGGCTATAACTCTTTGCTCCGATGTCAAAATCAAGTGCCGTTTGTGGCATTGGAAACTAGACATTCCCAGCTTTCCATTGGTACCAATTTCACATTCTGGTTCCACTTGAGTGAGTCACACCATTCGATTGAAAATCACTGTCCTGTTTCGTTTCTCTCCAGGAGACAGGACAGGACTTGTATCTTGATGCTCCAAAACGAGCTGTTTGTGGATAGAATTTCAAAATGGTTTCTTCTGATAAAATTCATCTTTATGAGAGAGCTTTCCAATTCCATCAACCACGCTCAATTCCAAGTTGAATTGAGTGAGTTGTGGCCATATTTCGAAACTGATGCAGTGAGTAAAAATCCTCTTTTGACTAGTTGAATGGCCTAGCTTGATTTGGGACTTGTTGTTTTGGAAACTTTGATGTCCAACATCTACCAAACTTTATATTAGATGTTCCTTGGACTTTGTTTTACAAATAAACCAGATTTGGGTTGGTTGCGTTGGACAAAATGTTTAAAAAGAAAGAAGAGCTAGAAGACAGTTTTGCCTTGGGAAATTTCTTGAACTTTGATGGTTTAGTTAACTGCCTTCTCGTGTGAATTTTCAAATGAAATTTGATAGAGGAGTGGTCCTCATATGGAGGTTTAATTGTGCAAAATTTAGTGATATTCTAAGACCATTTTGATATGCAAATGATGCCCCGAAATTGCTCTTCGAATCTCGAAAACTTTTCCTTTTCTCTTAGCCGATTAGCCAATCTTGACTTGGGACTTGTCATTCGAAATTCTTGGTATAAATCACCTACCAAATACAGCTTGGATGTTTCTTAGGCATTATCTACGCAAATGAACCATATTTGAGAGGTTTTTAGTGGCCAAATGTTTGAGAAAAGGAAAACGAAGGTACGAGGCAGATTGCCTTGGAAATTCTTGAAACCTTCAACAGTTTTGTTAATTGACTCTTCGTGCTAGATTTTGCTTGAAAATTTGCAGAGGAATAACCCCTATATGGTAGTGTAATACTGCTAAATTTGGTGCCATTCCAAGTCCGTTTCAGTGTTCAACCAACGTCCCAAAGTTCATGTTTAAATCTGGAAATTCTTGATCGAGGAGGAAATTTTAGCCAACTATTGAGCTGCTATATCTTGGCGCTCAAAACTTTTATTCTTGTTCCGTTTGTTTTGTTTTAAACTTTGATTGTAGCTCTAATTAAGTTCTAAATTTCGGAGGCTAGTTCGTATTGTGTGAATTTTGCTGGATTTTCAAAGTTGGTCAAAAATCAACCCCGAAACTGTCATAATGGTCCCAAGCAGCAACTTTGAGTCAATTTTTGAATATCTTCCGTTTGGAATCATGGAAAAGTATCTTCTAGGAACTTTTAGTGCTTTTGAAGAAGTTTCCAACGGTATCAAGCTTTCTAATTATGGACCTACATAGTGCAAGATACGATTTTTCTAAATTGACACCCAAAGCTGAAATTTGTCAATTTCTTAGAAAATGAGATTTTGGAAACTTGCCTTCTTTTCTCGATACCGATTGAACATTTTGAACTCGATTTCATGGAAAATGTTAGTCTCTCTCTTTAGACTTTAAAACTGTACTCTTGAACCTCGATTTACGAGTAATTGAGGTTCATTTTCATAAATTTCCTTAGATTGCAGTAGCGTACAATCTTCCTCGATAATTAGAGATTCGTAGTGATATTGAGTGGTACTTGATTATTGTTTACTCAGGCACTCGAGGGAATCTCCAAGAGGAACTCGGAGCGGACACCTAAACGCTTGTTTGAAAACTACTCTCTTGTTTTGACTAGGTGAGTGTTCCATATAGGAATACGTAATTGAATAAGTCTAGGACACGCTTATTTCATGATTATTAAGTTTTAAGTGCTATGTGTTAAGTATTTACCATACTCATGCCTATTTAAGGAATGTATACTTGCATTGTATATCTACATGAATTGGTTAAATGATTAACCATATCAAATGACCATATGAACTCGATACATGCTTAACTTGCTAAATTATTTACTTAGCCTACTTGATTTTGAGAAATGGAGTCGAGTGTGTACTTTATCGCACTCGTTCTCTTTTGAGATGAATAACTCATGCTTGGAAATGCTCGAATAACATGACTTGGTATGCTAAGGTTGCATACGTCGTTGGAGTGAATCTCCTCGACTCTCACATGGTAAAAATGGGATAACGGCCAATGATGGCCTATTCATATGACAAATGCCTGTCAATTAACCGTCACTACTTAACCGTTAACCGTGAACCGTCAACCGTTAACCGTGAACCGTTTACCAACCACATGACTACTTGATTACTTGACTATTTGCTCACATGATTTTCAATCTACATGACTATTCGATATCCGTGAATTACATGCTCCCATGAAATCAACTTGTATTACTTACGTCCTTACGTGCTAAGTATCTACTTGATTACTTGATTATCATGAATCACATGTTATATGAAGCTATCCATCATTATTAGGCGAGTGTGTACTTTACCTCATTCGACCTACTCTAATGATGAATTTTACCTTTTGTCGAATTACTTGGTTACCTGTGCATGTTGTGAGCTCTAAGCTGAACTTGGGCCCTGCCCTTGGTTACTGATCTACTCGAGCCAGAACTGGGCTCGGTCGGGTAGGTTGGAACCCTGGGCCACCGTTTCGGTATACTCGAGTATTACCACTGGAGGGATAAGGCGATGGCCAGACCGTACCGTGGGGATCTGGAAGTCATAAGGTGCAGATGACCGACAGAGTTCCACTGGAACACCGTATCCTACAGTATATGTTTACCTGGTATCATGATAATTGTTTCATGCTAAAATGCCAATATGAAATCCTGAGCTATGCCTGTAATAAGCTCCAATCACTCGTGAACTATACATGCCAATGTCTTGAACCATAATAACTGTCTCATGATAAATGTCTCATACCATGATAATGTCTCAAATTACCTGTACAATGATTATCACCTCATGATAACATGCCATTGTGTAACCTTGAACCATGCATATGATATGCCCAATCTACTTGATTTATTTGAACTGTTAGAGTGTCTTGGAATCTCACTGGGCTGTGTAGCTCATCCCACGTTGTGATTTTCTTTTACAGGGTTCGAGACCAATGGTGCTCGTGAGTAGTACTAGATTGTTTTCTTTTGAAGACTTTAATTTTATATTATAACGGATGGCTATTGTACCCTTTTCCGTTGGGTTGTATTTAAGCTTGAAAGTTGCATAATTGTAAGTGTAAGATATTTGAAGTACTTTAATTATGTATTGAAGTTACTTAAGGTATTTCGAGCTTTTGAATGATGGATTGTAGTGAGTCCTGGCGAGAGTTGGGCAGGCGTCCCGCGGATACCCTTTGGTTCGCCTTAGGGAGAAGTGGGGGCGTCACATTCCTGCTCAAGAAAGACGAAGTGAAGTGATGAAAAATCTCCAGAGGAAAAAAGACGTTCGCAAATTCGTTGGAGAAATGAAGTTTTGCATTGTAAAGTAATAAAATATGTGAGTTTGAGTTGTGTTTGTGTGTGTGTGTGTGTGGCGAAAGGAAAGAACCTGTGAAAGCTTTGGTGAGAACTCCAAATTCATCAGCCACTGCCATTTCAGTGATAGTTTGTTCCTATATGTACCACCTTTATGAAAAAATGAGATGTCAAATCCATCTTTTTGTACAAAATAGATTAGTTGGAGACAGTCACAGCCCAGATAATTCTAGGGATAATTTCAGAAACCTCCCTTGAGGTTTCTGACATTTACACTTACCTCCCTTGTGGTTTGAACAATTACACTGATCTCCCCTGAGGTTACTAATCTTTTACAAATTCAGTCCAAATGATTAAAATATTATTTTAGAGAGTGAAATTAGAATTTTGTACCTGATTTGTTCTTTGTGCCACATGTCCAATGAATGGCAAAGTATTACAAATTAATTAACAATTAATAAACTTTAACGAGCGTAGTTTATAGGCAAATACGTATTACCTATTTAAAGTACCAGCTCTTTACATGTATTTTACTTTCAAACATTTACTTTATCACAAATATTTATTCTCAAATACAGATTTGTATTTACTCTCAAATATTTAATTTTTGTTAAACACAAAACCTACTAGTTTTTCTTCCGTAGAAATATTAATATAACACTTTTTAAATTTTAGTTATAAATATTTATGTATTTAACATAAATTAAATGATTCAGGATAAAATATCCATAAACAGCCAATACTTTACTCATGTAAGGGATGAAAGTCATAAAAATTAATAGTTTATGAGGCCATTTATTTTTTAAAAAATATTTAATTTATATTAAATAGATAACCTACTGATTTTTTTTGCAAGAATATTACTTTAACACTTTTTAATTTTTAATTACAAATGTTAATATATTTATCATAAATTAAATATTTGAAAATAAAATATCTGTAAAGAGCCGATACTTTAAATAGGATATGCGTATTTGCCTATAAACTACACTATTTAAAGTAAGGAGTATAGTTTATTGATTTAAGTTAAGGAGTGTAGTTTATTGATTTAAGTAAGGAGTGTAGTTTATAGGTAAATACGCATAACTTATTTAAAGTACCGGCTCTTTACATGTATTTTATTTTTAAATATTTAATTTACAATAAATATATCAATATTTGTAATTAAAAATTAAAAGGTGTTACAATAATATTCTTGTAAAAAGAAAATCAATAGATTATCTATTTAATATAAATTAAAATTAAAAAAAAAAAAAGAAATGGCCTATAAAATGTTAATTTTTTATGAATTTCATCCATTACATGAGTAAAGTATTAGCCCTTTATAAGTATTTTATTCTGAATCATTTAATTTATGTTAAATACATAAATATTTGTAACTGAAATTGAAAAAATGTTATATTAATATTTCTACGGAAAAAAAACTGGTAGGTTTTGTGTTTAACAAAAATTAAATATTTGAGAGTAAATACAAATTTGTATTTGAGAATAAATATTTGTGATAACGTAAATGTTTGAAACTAAAATTCATGTAAAGAGCTGGTACTTTAAATAGGCAATACATATTTGCCTATAAACTACGCTCGTTAAAGTTTATTAATTGTTAATTAATTTGTAATATTTTGCCATTCATTGGACATGTGGCACAAAGGACAAATCAGGTACAAAATTCTAATTTCACTCTCTAAAATAATATTTTAATCATTTGGACTGAATTTGTAAAGGATTAGTAATCTCATGGGAGGTCAGTGTAATTGTTCAAACCACATGGGAGGTAAGTGTAAATGTCAGAAACCTCAGGGGAGGTTTCTGAAATTACCCCATAATTCTAATAGTAAGTATTTATTTTGCAAATGTCTGTCACAATTTATTGTATATTGGATAGCTGTTTTTTTTTGTTTTATTTTTTAAACCAATGACCCTTTGCTGTTGGCCACCACAAAGGCACTTAAGATATTGTAAGTTGAGAAATCAAGATTTCGACTTTTGTTTTCTATCAATTGTCAATCCATGTAATTTCTCTAAATTTAGCGAGAGTTAAAGGGCAGCATCTGATCCAAAAATGTTTTAGTCCCTCTGACTCCTAATGACCTAGTTAGATCTATAGCGTTCTGCATAATATAGGATGAGAAGTAGGTCTAGGTGTAGATTGTTCATATTTGATTAAAAAAATAAAAGTCAAACAATCAACCAACAAAACATAACCAATAGATATATCAAGGAAAGGGCATTTTTATTTGGAAAAATGACCTGTTTCATTCTTCACATTTCGCAAAAATATTCTTTTCGCCCCTCACTTTTAAAATAAAGCAAATTCATCTCTGACATTTAAAAATTAAAGCTATTACATCCCTGAACCTAATTTTCAATATGAATTAAACCATTCAATAGCCCAGTAATAAATTTCGGAAATAGAATTGATAGATCACTCGGTCAATTTCATCATATTCACATGACATTTATTAAACCAAAAAAATAAAAATTATAACATAAAAGGCCATTCTTTGTCTTGGAATAGTGAATTTTTTTTTCGTAAATCTTTTCATACACCGTTAGTATATCTGCTTGCGAATCTAGATGTGTATCATAAATATAAAATTTGGTGTTTAAATTTAAATTTAAATGATATGGCGGTACATAAAACCATCAGTGTATACAATGATAATGTAGAAAAGATTAATCTTTCTTTTTTTATGTTATAATTTTTTATTTTTTATTTTTTTGTTCATTAAATTTTACATGAATCTCAAGTTGAATTAACCAAATGATCTACCAATTACACTCTCAAAATTTGTAATCATGTTGATTGGTGGTTTGATTCAGATTGAAATTTGGGTTCAGGGATGTAAGAACTTCAGTTTTTAAATGTTAAGGATGAAATTGTTTCGTTTTAAAAGTGAGGGATGAAAAGTATATTTTTGTGAAATATAAAGGATGAAACCGATCATTTTTTCTTTTTATTTCGAATGTATTTTTTAAAGAAAGCCCAAGAGTACGCTCTTTCTATGCGGCTTTCCTCAAGCTAAGCCACTCAATTCTGCTAATTTTTTAACCAAATGCAGATAATAACTTCGACCATTGAAGTTTATCTTCAAAAGATGAAATTGCGCTATTATTGCTTTCTTTTTCTTTTTTTTTTTTTTTTGAAGCAAATGCGCTGTTATTGCTAAATTGTATTGAAGAGTAGTTTCTAAGGGATCCCGATTAAATGAGTTATCAAAGCTTGTAACGCTATTCCAATGTTGATCTCCGTAGCCTTAATTATACATCTATAACTAGTAATTGTAGTAACAGTGCAAGTCACTACAAGAATTTCACCTTAAAATCTCAACTCTAAATTATTATTATTATTATTATTTTAACAGTTACGCAGGGCATAATGGTTACTAGTTAAGAAGCAGTAAATTGTTAACGTTTTTAAAAAGTTTTATTTGTGTCCAAAAGCAAGAAGGTAACAAATGTTAATAACTTAATATGTTATACGTGCATTTAGATAGTAAATTATGTGTAATAATAATATAACAGACACCTTGGTCCAGCGTATCTGTGCTTGATAGCCTTCCATTTCTCTTGCAATATCAGTACGCTTCTAAATTACTAGCTTATACTCGTTTTAGTTTTGGTCTACAGAATGATAACAGTTTTTCGATGCAACTCTTTAGGCCACTAATTTTCCACTTTTTGTCGCCATAATGCAATTAAGTATAACAACCCTAATCCATGGAGCATTTTTATTTGCATAGAGCTTTGATAACAAACGAATGAAAAACGTGTTTTCAATTAAGGGACACTAGTATTTTGACCTGTGTTATGCACGGGATTATATTTCAAATCAAAATAATATTATATATATTTATATATTGTGGTTCAGAATAATATATATATATATATATATATAGACTAAAAATTTTAAAGAAGTGTATGCTTCACATGTTGAAAAAAGTTCAATTTATAATGATTTACATTATAGAGGAATTGTTAACGCATTTAAGGAGAGAGTTAGGTTGGGTGATAAAGTAAGAAGAGTTTTCTAAAAAAAAAATTAATTTATCAGTATTCAACAAAACATATGTTATACCCATATATCAAAACTTATAATATAAAAAAAATTATAACCAATTTATTTTCTTCTATTTTTAGAAAAAAAATCTTTCTCCTAACTTGTACCGCTAAAATTGTTGACTGCATTTAGATTAGCATTTTTCATAAACTTTAATGTATATTTAAAAAAAATCTCTGTAATATATGTTTTTAGAGTTCTCAAAACTATTAAAAATCACCATCATTTCTCTCTTCTCTTATCCGCCAGCTAGTCATCAGATGCCTCCTGGGATTTTCATATTTTCTATCATGGTATCACTCTCTCTATTACTCCCTCCGTCCCACTTTGATAGTCCCGTTTTCCTTTTTCGTCTGTCCCAAATTGTAGTCCACTTTCCAATTGAAGAATGTAGTTGTATTTTAATTTTTCTAAAATACCCTTATTCAATGTAAGTTGTTGTTACTATAAACCTACCCCATTTAATGAGAGTTGATTCTTTTTTTTACTATCAATTCAAGTTCCCATAAAGTTGAACTCTATTTAATGTGAGGGTATTTTAGGAAAATAGCAATCTAAATTTACTTTTCTAACAAAGTTAACTACTTTTTCTTAAACTGTGTGAAAA